TCGGTTACATAAACCTTCTTGAAAATGGCTGAAACCGGTTTGTGATAAACCCGATTGAATGTAGTATCAGACTTAAGTGATTTGGGTCAAACTGGTTTATACAATGTCTGTCCCAGACCCCTAGCTGGTTTAAGATAAATCAGACTCCCCCAGCATCCCGACATGGTCTCTGGGTTGGGCAGGACTCTCTGCTTCACAGCAGGGCTTGTTCCTGGGCAGAGCTCCTCTGGCACAAACTTGCAGACACAGCAGGGTCTGCTGGCTTCCCCATGCCCCCTCCCCTTCCCCCTCCCCTCTCACCACTTGCTACTTAAACAGGGATCCCTTCCTCCCCTCTCTCACAGCACAGACCATAGCCAGCATGTGGTATGCTAGCTAATGCTGTGTAAGGCTCTGGCAGAGAGAGAAGACACAGCAGGGTTTGTCTGGCTTCCCCCTGTCCTACCCCACCTCGCTGCTCAAGCAGGAAATCCACCCCTTCCTCCCATCTTCCACAGCACAGACCCCAGCCCCAGGGACCCTAGGCATGTAGTATGCTAGCTAATGCCAAGTGGTGCCTGTTTGCATCTCTCTCCAATTTCACTGGGACAGGCAGGCAGACAGAACAGGGCTTTTGGAGCTAATCAACAGCTGTTTAAAAAGTTTGCAGTAATGGGAGAGAGGTTATTGTTTTGCTAATCTGGTGATAAAGACTCTCCCATGCTGGCTTGCTCTCCTGTCAGTTTGCTGCAGACAGTCTGTCAAAGCAGGATGGGAGACTGAAAAACTCTGTATCATCAACAAATGCATGCACTGCACACCCCTCCTTGCCTCAGTGCTAGCAAGGTCTGGGGGCTGACAACTCTCCTGCTCCTTGAGCCAGCAGGGAAAAACCTGGGACTGTGCAGGGTGACCTCCCTAATGAGGGACTCCTGAGACCTGGCTATGTGCCCTGCATCAGCTCAATTCTGTGCAAGGGAAGGGAGGGCTCCTTAAGTGCCCCTGGCTTCTAGCCTAAGCCACTGCAGACATGTGCCTGAATTTCCTCAGTCCAGAGGAAGTCCAGATTGTGTCTGTATGGTTGGAAACTGGTTCGGCCTAGCCAGGTTAGACTAACCTGCAAAGGTTGAATCGATTCAGGCTCAGGCTTTTTGAATATGTGTCCCTAGCCTTATAGCCTTTTGGCTATTCTAAGACTAGGAAGGAACTATTCCTCTCCCTTCAATTTTCCTAGCATCAAATTTGTTTTTATTGTTTTAATTTTTTTTTAAGTTTAATCTTAAAAAGGAGTTATCACTAGAGGCCTGAGTGATGGAGTATATGGGATGGAAAATGGGGGTTGGTTTGGTGGGGTTTGTTCATTTGACTGGGACAGGTCTGGGTCACTTATTTAATCTGCAGCAATTTTCCCACCCCAGTGTTAAAAAAACCCACCAAACAACAACAAAAAACCAAACCAAAAAAACCCCCAAACATCAAACTGCTTCTAAGGAGTCAGCTGATAAGGCTTTGGAGGGAATCCAGGTCACCAATGAGTCTGAGGGCAACCTTCCAGCCACTTTTTAAGCAGGCATGAGGCTGACTCCCAGACCCCAGATGAAGAAACACTCCGTGAATGCCTGGAATCTTTCCCCTTTGGAGTGCATGGGAGTCCCTGAGAAGGGAGAATTGTGGGCAGATGGAGAACTGCAGCCAAGGATGTGTAGTGGGAAGCTCCTCCTGACAGGATCCCACGCTATGCTTTGGCCAGTAGGGAGGCTAAGTATGGCTTGATTTGACCTTGATACATTCCCATGCAGCCTGCCTTCTTGGGAAGTGGACAGTTAGGCTTGTTTGGCAGCTTAAGTTTTAGAGGGTTTGAGGAATGCTGCACCTCCAACAGAAAAAGGTTTATATAATGCTTCTAACCTAAGCCCATATTACTGGAAACATAAATGAGATGACTAGAGCTGGTTGGGAAATACATCATGGGATCTTTTTCTTCAAAAACTCCTTGCAGGACCATATGAATTTCAACACAACTTTATTGGGAATGGCTTTTCAGCTCTAGGATGCAATTTCCAATGGAGAGAGTTATGGGCTTACCCTGATGGCATAGGGTGCTCACTCAGGATGAGGAAAAACAGAAGAGCTGGAACTTTTGAATATGAATCTCCACATTCTCAGGTGGCTGCCCTAACTGGAGGGTTCTTGTCTCTTTGGGGTTGGTCTGTCTCTTGCCTCTATCTTTTCATGGAAACACTTTGAAAGGTCTTGCTTTCAATCTCTTGTAAAATGAGAAAATATTTGAAATCTCACAAGTTTGTGGGGCAGGAAAACTATTTCCTTCAATATCACAGGTTACAACTACAGCTGCATTTCAGTAGAAATGTTCTACTGTTTTCTACAAATACCATGTAGTAGGCAACTATTGATCCTCTGGATCATGCTGTACACATAAGAGGTCTAGTCAGATGCCTGATGAATCTGCTTGTGGTTGACAAGCCCAATTTGAGGGAGTCGCAGCTTGTTACAAATTTCACAGATCCATATGTTGTCTGGGTTGGAGTCCAAGTTTCCAGCATGTTGCTTTCTTCTTTCTCATTTTGCTTCTGTCCTCTAGATCAAAACTGCTTCATATTGAGCTGCACCCAGTGCCAGATATTCCCTTTAGATCAGATGGGATTCTGCATGCTTCGCCCAGCTTTCTATGTTGATGTTGAATGACTTTATATCATATTTGCACACATTGTGATACTGCTATAGAGGATTATCCCACTTTGTAGAGCCATCTCAAATCTTGCTGTACACAATTTTCTTGGGGATACGGTCTCCTCCCATTCTCCTGACATGGCCAATCCATTGCAACCTCCTTTTCTTGATAGTCGTTTTTAAGTGTGTCAGTCCTGCACACTCCAGCACCTCTGTGTTTGGTATTTTGGTTTTCCACTTTATTTTCAGGGTCTTACACACACATCTCATGTGGAAACTTTCCATATGCTAGGCACATCAAGAGACTGTAGTCTGTATTTCTGAATCATAAACCAGGGATGACAGCACACAGGTCCCATAGATTCACATCTTTACCTTAGCTGATACTTTGCTGTTATTCCATGCATGTTTCTATAATAGCCCAAAATTCTTACCTGCCTTCATAGTCTGTTAGTTCAGTCTGAAGTCATTTCTGCTGATTGCAAGCAGCAAAAACTGTCAATGACATCAAGAGACTTACCCTCCAGAGTGATGTTCAGGTATTGGTTCTTCCACCTGTTGGTACATGATCACAATCTTCTTGAGACTAATTTCCATCCGAAAGCTCTTGCACGACTCAGAAAAGCTACCCAAAAGATTTTTCAGAGAAGATTCACTGTGGGCAACCAAGGTCACATCATCCACAAACAGGAATTTTCTCAGTATCAGCTCTTTCACCTTGGTTTGTGCTCTAAATCTTGCAATATCAAACAACACTCCATCTAGTCTAGTTTGAAGATAAATGCCATCATTGTTGTCTTTGAATACATGAAGAAGCAGGAACATGGTTGTCTTTGAATACCTGAAGAAGCAGGAATGAAAAGGAGAAGTTAAAGAGCATGAGGGCTAAGACACACTCCTATTTCACCCCATTGTTGATGTCAAAGGCGTTTTGATTTTTCATTTTCATACACTATAGTTGCCTTCATACCTGGATGTAATGAGTGAATGACATCCATGATTCATTCATTCATTACCTCAATGAGTGATGTAATGAGTGAACTGTTCAACAGTTTGTGGGGACAAGCCAGTTTTTTCAGAATGGTAAGAAAGCCCAGTCTGACTGTATTGCAGCCTTCATCAATCTGACAAAAGCCTGTGTACAGTGGTATTTTTTTCCCCTCTAAACTTCTCTTGCAGTTGTTTGACTGAAAATACCATATCAATGGTGGAATGTCCTGAGAGAGAAGCACAATGACTTCCAGGATATATTCCTTCACTTAGAGATTGCAGCCTAGGGAGCATGATGCAAGTGACTTTTTTTTTTTCCAATGTTGTTCAACAGGGAGATAAGTCTATAGTTGTCACAGTCACTTCGACCCCCTTTGTTTATAGCGTGATGCAAAATAGAGGTGCAGGGGCTGGCATAACTCTAGGCCCCCTGCACTGCTTATAACTGCAGGTGCAGTAGACAGACGACACCCAGTAGCCATGGCCATTCCAAGCATTTTGCAGTGCTAGTTTGCTGTCTGTAGCAAAGGTAGGTTTACTAAAATAACTCTGGAGCCCCTGTGATATAAAGCTAGGTTTTTATGAAAGTTTCCAGGACTGGTTTGTGGAGAAAGTGAGGGGGAACTTGATCATTGATTAATTTTATTCATTTATGCAGTAGTCTTCCATCATTGGTAGAGAGATATATTCAGGAAGTGCTAATCTCATTCCCAGAGTGAAGGGGGAAAGTGTGGAAGGGGAGGACTCTGTTCTGATGACTGTCTCAGACAGCCGGAGCCGACTTGAGGAGGATTGCTGATTACTCGGCTGTCAGGCGGGCTGGTGGATGGAGAGGCAGGACACAGCGTATTGGTTGCAAAATAATTTTTACTTTAACTTTACTTACGCCGCTGATGGCCGCGACGCAGGTGGTAAGGTTGCTTACGTAGTTACAGGTAACGAGTTGCTTGTGTAGTTACAGGTAACTGGCAAGAACTGGCGAGTTTGTAGACAAAAACGAGCATGTAGGATGAAGGATACGTCGGGAACAGACAGTGACGGGGAGATGTTGGAGGATGGCCAGTCCGCCAGCTTTTCTCTGCCACGTGGCAAAGTTCTCCGTACTCTACCACGTGCTCAGAGCTCTCTGACTTGGGCGGAAGCTGCACGGATTTTTATACATTTATAGTAGCCAATAACAGACTGCCAGGTGGGAATAGCTAATGAGGCAGAACGTACCAAATTTGCAGTTATTCAGGGCAGTTCTATAGTGACAGGGGCACTCAACTCATTTGGTTATGACAGTGACCAGTAGGCATTTAAACATTTTAAATTGGTATTGTTTGGTTCTGCTCTTTCAGAAAACGAAGCGAGCATTTCTTCTCAAGACTGATGGTGTTAAGCAGGATGAAGCTTGGGCTTGTGGGTAAGCAGTCGGGTTCCTGGATCAGGAGCCAGATTTTTGGTGGCTTATATAACCAAGATGATTGTGGATACACTGAAGAGGGGATCAGGTTGGAATTTAGGGAGTCAAGATTTTATTTCCAGCTTTGCTGTTTTCTCCTGTGATTAAATAGATTTGGGTTAGGTTCTCCCTGTGTAAAATGGGGATAGTTAAGCTCAGCAGTTCTGTGGTAAAGAGTGCTAATTATTATTTTTATAATACTGCTTGGATTTTTGAGGATCTCAAAACAGTCCAAGCACTGATCATGTTTTATAACCTTACCATAAGTGGTAGAACATAGCTCATGTTTTTCAGATGAAGAGACTGAGATACAGAAATGCTGTTACTTGCTCAAGACCACTCAACAAGTCTGTGGCAGAGACAGGAACAGGGCCTTGATTTGATGCCCAGTCTTGTGGTTTTGCCCAGAAGCTTGTCCTTTTTCACATGAAAAAATCTCAGTGGGTCTTTGCTTTGTGCATGCCTCAGTTCAACAGTCACAGGGCAAATTCCCAGGGCCTTGCATGCAGGAGGCAGGCTTCATCGAGCTAGGTGCCAAGGGAGTTCCCAGGACCCCGTGAGTGGGAGAAGAGCTCTTGGTGATCCCACAGGTGCTTGAGTGGAATTCCAAGGATCCCGACCAACTGTCTTTTGAATTCAGCTGTTCACCCCAGTGAACTTCTTAAGGACTCTCTTAAATACCAGTACACAGTCCCTTGCTGTGCTCTCTTCCTGGCTCCTTGCTTGTTGCATGGAAATTCAGGCAGAGGGTCATAATAAACAAAGGCTGCTTTTTGATTTCTGCCAGAGGATGCTACAGTTACTAGACAGGGTTAGATCACTTCTCTCTTTCCAGGCTCCTGGAGAGAAGGTTCATGTAGGACCAGCAGGGCCAAAAATAAATGTACTTTAAAAGAGAATGCAACTTCCATAGAAGGAAACAAATTGTTCAATTTGGTTCCCTTGTTTTTCTGTCCCGTGGGCAGATCAGACATAAGGCAAATTAAAAACGTTGAAGGCCCAGTGTTGAGGGGAGGGGTAGATGACTCTTTGAAAGCATTGAGGAGAGAGGGTATGCTACAGGTGGCAGCAGCAGGAAGGAGAACTTGATGCTGCTGTCCTGATCAGGCGGTAAATGCCTCCAGCTTGAAGAACAGTTCCCCTGAAATTGTAAGTTCCTTGGCCTGAAGGTTGTCTTTTGTTCTACATTTGTACAGCGTTGAGTACAGTGAGCTCCTGGTCCATGACTGAGGCTCCTAAGCACCAGTACAGAACAAAGAAAGGTAATAGCAGAATGGGTAGCTTTGGAAGAACCTTGTTAGACTCTCTTTCTCAGGCTGCAAGAGCTGATCTATGCCACAGTAACAGAGAGCTCAGTCATGCTACTGAAGGAATAAGCCCCATCCTCTTATCCATTCTCCATGTGTCAGTTCAAGAAATGAGGTGATGAGGATGCCTTGAGGTGCCCTTGGGTTTCTGGAGTGCTGCTTTCTATCTCATTCCCAGGGTAGACCCAGGCAGAACAGGAGCTGTTAGATAGGATGTGTTCCCTCAGGGTGCATCTACAGGTACAATTAATGCTCAGCTATAAACTCTGGCGCATATCGTACTGAAGTTTACTGCTCATGGGTGCCGTGTTTGAATGCATGTCCAGGACAGCAGTACCTTGAGCCGGGTTGGAGCGGTGCCGGCTGGCAGGAGACCCAGGGGCTGCTCTGATCTGGCTCAATGTGCTGTAGAGGGGCTGACTGGGGCACAGTGGTGCTCCAGCTGGCAGACAGCCCCCAGACTGAAGCACCCTCATGCCTTAGCCAGCCCCGTTGGCGTCTATACTCCATGCATTGCTGCAGCATAAAGAATTCTGCTGTAGGGTAGTATCTTATTTACAAGTATTAACCTGTAGAGGAGTTTATTTACTCCATCCTAATAGCGTTGCGTGTGTAGAGGCTGAGATGTTTTACTGTGGAGTTGCCTAACTAACTCGCAGTAATGTCTCATGTAGATATGCCCTCAGTCTTGTAACTGAATCCTTATGAATGGCTTATGAATACAAGGGCAATATCTCCACGCTGTTATAAGAGCAGCTGACTTATTTGGAGACCTTTTTAACGTTGAAATGTTAATCTGTGCTAACATTTCATAGCAATCACTTCTTTCCAGTTGGTTTCAGTTCCTTTCTTCCTGCCCCATCAAGATATGGAGATCTTCTGATTCCAAGACTGAAATTTTGCCAACTCATTCTGTTTGTCAGCCCTTTAATGTTATCTCTCTTCTGTATTTATGCATGTGCGTAGATGTTTAATTTGTTGAAGGTTATGGGCACAGCTCTATGTGATTGCATCCTGACTTATTACTTGGTAACAATAGCAACGCAGTGATAAACAGCTTCCTTTTTTTTTTTTAATGTGGGAGGTGAGATTACTGTTTCTGCAAGGGCAGTGAATGCCACGGCTGTAGACAGAATGGCCACAGCTGTTATCAAGTACAGAGGGAGAAACCGCTGGTGGATCTCATGAAGATCACTTATTCGACATGTGCTCTGTAAAGGTTGTTTGTTTCCTTGAGACTAATTTGTATATTATTTTTGGTTGGGTACACAGACAGGATCCATTCAAGATAGGTAAGGAAAGACCATTTATTAAAACACCAGGGTTGGCTAGAGTCTGTTCCCACTGATGGTCTTTTGACCTTTGCCATTGACTTTGCTTGAACTAGGATTTGGCCTGATACGTTTATCATATAGAACATAATGTCTATGATTTATCATTACTTTGTTAGTTAGTACAAAAAAGCCTGGTGTTGTAGTGTTTCCTTTTGCCTCTGTGAGGAACCAAGGATCTGGTAGCTTAGCCATAATGTTCTAAGAGCTAAATAGAGTCCCTTAGCATGCATATACTAGACTACCAGGTGACCAGGAGATGGGAACTGAGGCTCTGAGCATATGAAGGGATATTTACTACTGTTAGGCAAAGAAGAGTTTGAAGTCAACAGTGAGGTCTAATTGCAATAAATCTAAATGTGTCCAAAATATAGGGGAGGCTAGAGATAGCGAGGTGACATTTCTACCCGTCCAAACTGCTGGTTGATAGCAAAAAAGACAAAGTTTTTTGTCTGTAAGAGGCTGGGATCCTTTCCTGAAGGTTGTAGCAAAAATACTTGCATCTGAGGGCCAAATTCTGAAGCCAGTTGGAATTCTTCATGTTCTAGGGGCATACATTGGCTTTAGCTTCAGTGTTTTGCAGGCTTACCATTAAAACAGCTGACGGAAAGAGCATGGGCCTAAATGCCAGGGCAACTGGCACTGACCACGGCCGAAGCAGATTATTTAAATTTTCCTTGTACAGCATGGATATTTGTAATGCTGGAAACTGAGTGAGATTCCATTTGAACATTATTCTGGATGGTGTCCATTTCCAAATTACAGCTCTCCTACAGAAGCGCTACTCAACCTTTTTGGACTCAAGGCACCCCTCCATAACTTTTGTGAATTAAGTGGAGACCAATTTCAAAAACAATTTTTTATATTATAGTGCTTGCTTCCTTGCAGTAGGGGTGGGGGATTGGCCAGGCAGGGGCAGCTTGCACTCATCTGTTTACCTCCTCACACCTCATGGTACCCTTCCAACAATAGCGGGTAAGCAGAGGTGAGTGTGGCACCCAGCCCCGCTTTTCTCTACAGTGGTAGGCGCCCCCCTC